GCTGCTCAGCTCTGACTACACCTGCTTGCTTTGACAGCTAGATTACATATGCTTTAAATATGTGTTCAGAGATTTTGCAAAGCGTTCCAAGTATAAAGCAATTTTTTCTTGCATCTTCACTAGTCATCTTGATTGTTTTTTAAAAAAAAAAGTGGGAGTAGTACTCTAATCGTGTCTCACTGATGCAAAGAGGAATCCCTTAAAAGTCCCATATTACCCACACCTCCTGCTCCTTCCACCTTTCTTCCTGCCTCCTTTCCCTCCACCTTACCTGTTCAGCTGCCTCTGGGTCCAAGTGGGTGTCCAGTAGAGGGACGGTGAACTGTATCTTCCTAGGGCTTCCAGTTTCCATGGTGGCACTGTCTGTCAGAGAGGAAAACGGGAGGAAGAAGGGGATGATCGAGAAAGGAGAATCCGTACGAAACAAGGGAGGATAAAGAGCTGAAAAATAAGTGAGCTCCAGCTTATTAAAAAAGAATCAGATTGTTTGAGTTTCTGTCTGACTCTTTTCTGTTCTTTACTTTTGCCTTTAAACACACTTTCCTCTAATTGCCTTGTTGTTTTGTGCCACCCGGTCTCTAATGATTTTCCCTATCTTCAACACCTGCTAGTGTCTCTATTCTATCTTCCCTCTCTGTCTCTCCAGGCTCTCAATGCTCAAGCAAGGGCATTCTCCGCAAGGAACACCTCTCCTTCACTCTCATTCGCTTTCACGTCAAGTCCCACCCTCTTTTCACGTTTCTTTCTGTCTTTATTGGCTGTCTGAGCTCAGGGCTGTTCTGCAGCAGCCCCTGCACAGACGAGAGAGTGAGGATGACAAAGGCATGCTCTCTCGAAGGGTAGAAATGGGTAGGATTTATCCAGCCTCTTCTTCAAGAGTATTTTTAAAATCACCTGCCTACACATGCTTAAAAACAGCCTACGCTGTATTTTAGATACAAGTGGTCTCATTCAGAATGAGGTCAAGCTGACATCTACACATATACAAATTTGTTTGTTGGTTTATTTAACACATGCACAGTGTTCATTACTGAACAGCTCTGTGCATAGTCCCTACACAGATGGTACAGTTACCTGGGAATCATGCAGCGTAATGCAATTCTGAGCCAATATTGACCATGTGAGAGAATAATCTGAGCCTATTAAAATAAAAACATACTGTTATGCACACTAAGCAGGTCTTTATTTGCCGTAATGTTTTACACAAAAAGGGTTTTCTCAGACTTCTGCAGTTTTCTGCCTTTTGTTTGATACGTCCTGATGTAGGAACAGTTTGAGGCTGTGATGTGTGTGTGTGTGTGTGTGTGTGTTCTGTTTTTGATGATTTCTTTGTTCATCACTGGCCAGGCTTGTCCTGTCTGACGCCTGGCCAGCACAAGCTTTATTGATTGTCTCTTAGCCCCAGTGTCCCCACACCACATGTCCACTGGGCCCCGATACCTGACACCAGCCAAGAAGCATACGGTGTGTCAAATGTGCAGTGCTTTTTGGGAGTGAAATAAATATCAAGCGTGACGCCTTCAAACTCTGCTCTGTTTTAGGATAAATTTCAAGCAGGCGTGAAGAGCAAACTAAACTTTAACTCCACACTAAATATGAAAATTCTTAATATTTCTGATGTACAGTCTAGTGGAAGAAAGCACTCTCACTGTTTCAAAAGACCATGCAATATCTTTTTACGCATCTCTGTTTCCATTTTAGCGTGAACAGTTCATCCAGAAACAGCAGACAACAAAGGAGCTCAGCAGGAATGAAGCAGCCACATGGGCTACACCATTTGCATCTTTTACAATAACATTTGCTATAATTCCTCATTTTAAATGCTTTAGATTGGATAATAGTCACTCAAAAAAGTCTAAACATAGAGAATATTTTGGTAAATAATCACATCTTTTAAAAAAAAAATCATGTAAAAATGAACAAAAACACAGAATTCTGTGTTTTCTTCTTCTGATCTTAGACTGCTTCTTGCTGTGGTGGGATTGCATACTTTTTGTCTTGTAGCTGCAGTAAAGGAGTGAGAGAAATAATAAAAAGCTGCCAATGTAATTAGAGCTTTTACTGAAAAATGTCTCTGTCATCAAAGCAGAAAACTGTTAATAAGGGGCCGCGTGCTCTATGTGAGTGTGTTTGTGAGAGACAACAGCTGGCTGCACGTTTTCCAGAGCAGCCTCCGATGTGAGCAGTGAACGAAGGACAAAAGCTTCGTCTCTGCTGCTCCTTCACATCAGCAGAGTTTTATCTCTCTAACTCTTTTATTGAACTTTCAAAGGGAAAAGGTATTAGCCAATCACATAGTCTAACAGAAACTGGGCAAGTCCTGTTTGGTGATAAACTGTTGGCACTAAACTATAATATACCACATACCACTTTGGATCACTGCAACACTTGGAATCTTTTCTTTTTCTGTCATTCTGTTTGAGATTTGCTGCTGTGGTTGAGAATCTAAATTATTGAGTGCTTCTAATTTAATCCAAATAAGACAGAAAAACAATTCAGATACTACAGATACTACTTGAACCTCTGAAACCAATTTAAGTCTCAACTTCTTTAAATAAAGTGTAGACCTCCTATATTTTTTTTAAATGCATGCTGTCACTTTCTACTTTTTTGCTGCATGTAACAGAAATCTTCTTTGTTTTTTTCAATAGTTAAAGCTTTGTGTACTTTAATACATATGCAAATTTAAATATGCTTAATTTGACTTAAGTTGACAGTTAGTGGGTAAAACAAGTAAAGAGGTGACAGGGAACACTAATAGTATAGTTCTTTAAGACAGGGCAGGGGCATGGAAAAAAAACTGTTGCCTATTTTTAGTGTTTCCAACATTATTTATTTTGTATATATAGTGAAATTTTAAAGGTGCAGTTCAAAAGTTTCCACTGCGTGCAGCAGAGGACATATTTCCGTTTAACCTTAAAGTTACCTGTGTTCTCTCCAAACAAGATCATTTGATCACACTGTAGCCATTAAAGCCTGTTGTGTGTGTGACAAATTGTGCTGTGTCACGGTCATGACCACTAATGGCTGAGACCTCCCTCTTTGCTGTTCAAGATGGCTGCCATCCAAGATGATGACCATGAGGGAAAGTGGAAGTGTGGAGGTCGGATAAAGGTCATCAAACAAAAAAGGAAGGTTTCTCTATGTGTGTGTGTGTGTGTGTACCTGTTTAGACATCTTTGTGGGGACCAAAAGTAGGCGGACAATTATGTCAATTAGTTGTCGTCACTAAGACATGAAAACAAGAATGTGTGTGCGTGTGT